GGCTGTCGGTTGCCCAGTTCTTGCTCACTTGTGAGCCCTGCCCCTTTATCTCTGTCAGCCGCTCAGACCACATCTTGTGCAAGGAGGCGCTCACCCCTTACTGGCAGGGGGAAGTTGGATGGTTTGCTCTTGAGTAATGTGTAACCAGCCTCTCCCAGCAGCTTTGGAGCAGTGCAACTTCCAGAGCAGTGACCTCCTTTTTGGTTGGCAGTCGGAAGGGAGGAGAAGTGGGATTTAGGTCAGTCTGGCATGGCATCCACCATGACCTCACAAATTCATGTCACTGTGGCTTTTTTTAACCTGTCCCCTCATTTCTCTACCTGGTTGGACTCCTGTAACCCCTGCTCTGGCCCGCGGCACTCAGGAGCGTGGCAGCCTGTGCGCTTCCCTGTGTCCTTTCCCTAGGTGCAGCTGTAACCTTTGCAGCAGCTCTGAATGCTGACAGACTGTGTCACTCAGCCATGTTACCTGCGGGCACTGGCCTGGCCTGAACTCTAGTGTCAAAGCTAGCACCTAGGCGGTCTGGACGGTAGGGGTACCCCCAGTGAAATGAACCTCGCTGTGGGTAGGAGTGAGCTGGGACAAGTCACCTTGGCAGAAGTGGTTGAGGAACTAACGGCAGGGATGGGGATACTTGGCACAGCTTGCCAGAAGGGGGTGTCTTCTAAGCAGGCCAGTGAAGAGCATTCCCCAGAGACCTCCCAGGTGAGTAGCTGTGTCCCTGGTTCTGATAGGGGCAGACCCTTGGGACACAGCCCCTTCTCTGCTTCTTGGTTCCCTTGGAAGCAGTAGCATGGAGGTCAAAAGCCTGCTCTAACACTGCTGAGTCGCTTGCCTTGTCTTCCCCTTACAGCAGGGAGGAAAGCTGTCCTCAGGGATGCTACAGGGCAGACTGCACCATGGATGTTTCCTGGCCCTGAGGGAGAGCAGGTCCTGGGAGCTGCTGCTTCTCTCTCAACCTGGGATGAGAAGCATGGCCAGGCAGACACAATTTTGTGCAGCTCTTGCCTCCTACCCTGGGTGACAGATGCTTTCTGGGCTGATGATGCTGTGTAGCCCTCCATCAGTGTCCTGCTGGAGGAGAAGCTGAAATTGTCCCTCAGTGCCCTTCTGTGGTGACCAAAGCTCTATCCCCTCTCTGGCAGCAAGAAGATGGGTCCCTGAGGCAGAGCATCAGGTGCTTGCTGGAGGGCAAGCCACCTCCTAGGAGCTGTGAGTCTGCTTTAGGGGAGGGCAGAGCTTGTGGCTGTTCCTGGGAGGCTTTGTTCATGTACAAGTTCCTCTGCCTCCTGTCCTGGCAAGTGGCAGTTCCCCTGCCCAAAATAGCCCTTGTGTGCTGCCAGCTTCTGGCTCACCCTTTGGCCCAGTTAGAGGGTCCTCAGGTTCCCCTGTCTGGGGGTGGCATTAACAGACCCTGCTTCTCTGGCTGATGGGGTCTCTGCTGGCAAGCCTGGGCTGGGGGTGCTCAGCAAGGGCACTAGAACCTACTGGATGCGTTAGCTGGTCTATGTGGAGCTGCTGGTGTTTGCTGCCAGCTGGTCCCCTCCAACCCTCAGGTGTATGGGGGGGGAAAACCTGGGAGTGTTGCATATAGGCCTGCAGTTCTGCTGGGGAAGTGAACCGATGGGCCAAAGCTCTTGGCTCGAAGATAGATTTGCCCAGGGTACCTCCCCAGCTCTGCCAAGCTGTGCAGGGAACAGCCCCTGATTGCTACATGCATCCCTTCTTCAAAGGGGAAGTGGTTCTCACTCTGCCACTTTCATTCTCTTTTCTCAGACTGCCTTGGGGCAACAACAGCCCTTGTTTCTTAGCATCATTAAGTGGCCTCTCCTGGCACTGCAAGGAGCAGAATTAACAGAGCCCTCCTTGGATGGAGGGTGTATAGCCTAATAAGCACATGCTGGAGAGTGGCAGCTGCTGGAAGAGCTGTTTGAACAGCCTGTGGGGCTCTTCAGTTGCAGCAGGGAAACTGTGTTAGCGCCCAACTAGATTACGGCCACAGCACAAAGGGAAACGAACAGCACCAAACCAAATGGATAGGACTGGTAGCAGGAGGATTGATCCCTGATCCAGCAGTGTCTCCCTCCTGGGCTTTGGAGGGCTTTCAGTTTGCCCTCTGTTCACAGGGCTCTTGCAGCTGGACTAGGCCAGACTCATCTTTGGAAGAGCCCATGCTGCAGAACAGCAGTTTCATGGGAACAGCCACAGTAGTCGACGTGCTTGGAACTGTGGTCCGGAGAGGATTGTCTTGGAGTGAGTAGGGCAATGTTGTTCCTACAAGCATCACCCCATGACCTGGCTGCAGCAAGTGTGGATCACCAAATCTGGCTGTACCGGCCTCAAAGTTACAATTGACTTTCCCTAGGATGTCAGTAAAAGTCCCATACTGGGACAGGATGGGGATTAGCACATAACTAAAGCACCTGGAGTGCATGGGACCAGCCATGACTGGATGTGGACACCTGGGTGAACCACAGGGCAGATAATCTTATGGTCCCTTTTGTGGCAGAGTTATCTCTTTCTCATTCTGCCTGCCTGGTGCTGTATACTGTGTCCAGCTCCATCCTGTCCCTGCTCTATTGCTGTCTAATTGTTTTTCTCTTCTGCAGAATCATCAAAGCTGTGGTCAAGACCTTCAAGTATTTCTTTGGCCTGAGGTTTGAGGTGAAAGGACTGGAGAACTTTGAGGTGGAGGGCCCTGCTATCATTGTCTCCAACCACCAGAGCATCCTGGATATGATGGGTGAGGAGCTGGCTGGAGGGAGGGGAGCAGTTTTCATGTTCGTGATGCACGCAGGATTTCCCTCATGGGGCTCCTGGCCAAGCTGCACCCCTTCCCTGGCCAGTCTGTCCTGCAGATCCAGTCTGTCCAGCTTTCTCTACTGACACTAACAGGAAGAGTTTTCTTCCACCTGGAGCTCTCACCTACCTGTTGCACCCGATGCACTGCTCTGCTTCTGGTGCTTCTCAGCACCCCTTCACAGCCCTTTCTTGCTGGCAGCCTGGCTGGCGTGTTGGACAGCCGGGCCTGAAGGGTAGCCCAGCAGGGCACCGCAGGGCTGAGGAGTGAGCTGACTTCCAGTGCACTGCACAGTCTGTCCTCACAGCCATGTTCAGTCTTTCCAGAGCCCAGACCTCAGTGTGGTTAATGGGCATTAAACATGGTACTGCATTGCCTCCTGAAGGGGCCTGCTGTGACCCCCCAGCCATCCTGCCCCATGTTTCTCCTCAAAACTAGCTGATCACCTTGCCAACTGTGACAGAGGCCCATTATTACTGGTATATGCTGAATCTCCTTCTGCTCCATGCTGACAATAGCAGAAGCCAGCAGAGAAATGAGGCACTGGCCTTTCCCTGGCTCTCCTCTCCCCACCTGGGAATGTGCCTCTTGCCCTTCTGAGTGCAGGCACTCACAGCAGGGGGGGTGGCTGCTGGGTCTCACCCTCTGCCCTCATGCTAGGGCTGATGGAGGTCCTGCCCGATGACTGTGTCCAGGTGGGCAAGAAGGAGCTGATGTATGCTGGCACTGTGGGGCTCATCATCTACCTAGGCGGCGTCATCTTCATCAACAGGAAGAGTACCAGCAGCGCCAAGATGGTGATGGCTGAGGTGGCCAAGACCATGGCAACTGACAACGTGAGTACAGTCATGGCCCTTGGCTGGGTGGCCCATGTCTGGCTGAGGTCTCCCAGGGGTGCCGCGGGGTGTGTGGTGCTCCTTTTGCTGGCTTGCCTGGAGTTGTGGCCACCTGTGGCTTTTGGCAAGACCAGTGATTCAGCCAGCAGGGAGGGAGCCCTGTGAGTGGATTGCTGGAGCAGAGCTTTGTCTCCCCATGCGCAGGTGAAGGTGTGGGTATACCCAGAGGGCACGAGGAACTGTACCGGGGACTTGCTGCCATTCAAGAAAGGAGCATTTCACCTTGCTGTTCAGGCACAGGTAATGGGGCTTTGCACCTGCACAGGGCTGTAGATCCTGAAAGCTTTTTGCTGTGGTGTCACAGACTGGTCATGCGAAGGCACAGTCTGTTAGCTTTCAAGTGTACTGTATTCCCAGCACACAACCTCTATTCCTTGGTTGAACCACCCTTAGGTGTCATAAGCACTGTCCGGGGGAGCTGAGAGCCTCCTCCACCTCTGCTGCAGCTCTAGAGCCAGGACCTCTGTGTTGCCTTTGCAGGCAGCTGTTCAGCCTGGGAGCGTGGCAGTGCTGTGTCTTGTACCCTGCTCCTGGGAGTGCAGCTGCAATGTAGAACTTGCATCTAGCAGAGAGCCTGGCAAGTGTTGCACTTCATGAGCTGGCCCTGGGGGTTCCCAGAAGCTGTTGCATTTCTCGGTTCCCCCCGCCACCCCACCAGGTTACAATAGCAATCCCAAATCAACACTTTGCTAATGCTAGCACTCTAGTACAACATCTGGGCTTGTGCTTTGTGGAATTAGCTGCTGCTTCCCAGATAGCCATATGGCACTGCTTTATGTTGTCTTATATGCCTTCTCTCTCCAAAATGACAAGATCAGTGAGCAGTTAATGGAAGAGCAGACAAACAGCTCTTTGGCTTTCATAGAGGCAGTGCTGGAGCTGTCAGTGCTCCTTAAGGAGCAGTGGTGCTTGACAAGGCACAGTGTTGGGCTTGTGCTGCTGTGGGATCCTGGGTGCTGTCTGAGGATGGGGGATTGCTGAAAGCTGGGCTGCCTGCTCAGTTGCCGGGTCCTGGGAAGTAGGAGCCAGCCTGGGGGCACGAGTGGGCCTGGCTCTGTGCTACGCTTTGCCATCTCTAAGGCTGTGACAGCAAGCAGCTAGGTGGAAAGCTTACAGAGCTGACTCGGAGAGGGGCTGAACAAATCTGCCCAGGGTCTCCCAGTGGCAGGTCAGAGGAGGGGACTGCTCTGGAGCATGCTGTCCGGCAAAGCCAGCTGACGATGGGGGAGCTGTGGGTGCCTCAGCTAGCTGGCTCTGCGGGAGGAGGGCCCTGGCAGGACAGGCTGGAAGGGCCTTGCCTTCCAGTATGTGCTCTACCTCCATTCTCTGCAGGCCTGAGAGGAAACTGGTCTCCCTAAAAGAGGCCCTGTTAGAAGGGATCATGGAAAAAGGAATACAGGCCAGATCTCTTGCTGGATTTGTCTGGCCACACCCTGGGGGTGAAGTCTTTACTGTCCCACCCCCATCCCTGCTAGAGGAGACACAACCAGGGTTGCTAGAAGGAAAGAACAACAGTGGAAACAGTACCCACCTCTGCTTACACTCCCAGTGAGTCACTCGCTGTAGGTTAGGTCTTTGTTATCAGCTCTAAAATAACACAGCTGTACACAACGAGCACAACTGTGTGCCTGCCCTCCTGGCTGTGTCTCTGCCTGTCTGAGGCTTCACTGGGAACAGTTGCCTGCAATTGGTGACCTTCTTTCTTAGAAGCTGAAGCATACCAGCAGGCCTGCCCTGTGTGTCTGCTTGTAAAACACAGTAAGGCTTGTTAAAACAAGCATCTCCCAATGGGTGCAGCCTGGAAACTACCAGGGTTTTGAAGCCTGACCTGGGAGGAAGATCCCAGAGGTCAAAAGTGCCTTGAATGTCTCTGGCTCGAGTCACTGACCAGTGGTTTAGCTCCCCCTTGACTCTGGACTGCCATAGCCTTAGGAAGTGGGCCTTGCTCTGTGGGTCTTGTTTGTGGGGCTGTGCATGCAGCTGAGCTGGGTCAGGTCAGCTCTGCTGCCTATCTCGCTGCTTGCACAGGGTTTCCTTCTGCAGGGCTGAAGTGCTGCAGTACAAGCAACTCTTCTTTCTCCTCTTCCTCCCTGAGGTCCCAGTGATCCCTGTGGTATATTCCTCCTTCACCACCTTCTACAATCCGAAGAAGAATCTGTTCACATCAGGTACCAAAGACTCTGAGGGGGTCTATGGCCACTTGGATGCAGGGTTGATGCCATATCTGTGGGGGAAGGCGGGAGGGAGGCAGTACTCCTGGGGTGAGCAGGAGGAGTGTCTGGGAGATATGTGGAGCACTTGTATCAAAGCACTTGGCACCAGAGCTTGGGCTGGACTAACTCAGGAAAGAGCATAATTAAGTATGCCAAGGGAATCTTTTGTTTAAAACTGGGCACCACCTCTCCCCCTGAAACTGTCACAGCCCAAGTTATATGGTGACAGTAACACTTCTCTAGGCTCAGGGACGGAGCAGGGTTATTCCCCCAGCTCTGGGAGTGCATCTGGGCCAGCCCAGTCCCCCCTCACGATGGCAAGGATCAGGCACGGTGGAAGGAGCAAGTGTACTATAGCTCCTGACCTTCAGAAGCAGGGACCCCTCTGCAAGTCAACCAAGGGAGCTGGTAGCATCTATCTCTAAAGCTTTGGAAGTCTGTTAGCATAAGTGCTAGGCAGAAGGCTGGCTTTCCACCAGCTTGGGATGGTAACACCTGCTCCCTTGGCAGGTCCCTAGCACTGGTGGGTTTAGCCTCTAGGTGCTTCCCTCTATTTAGAGGTGCTCTTATTTAAGGGAGCAATTTCTCCTTCTGCTTGTTTCCTGCCTGGCTCACTGGAGACAGCTAAGGGAAGGAGAGCTGGGGAGAAGCAGGTGGCAGGGGGGGAATGCCTGGTGCAGGCTGTGCCTGGCAGACCCTGGAGCTGAGTGGGGCTGAGGGCCCACAGGCCTGTGTTCCTACCTGCTCTCTTGGCTGGCAGTTGAGGGCAGAGCAGTGATCCCAGCCTTGGAAAGGAGCACGCTTTGGCTGGGTTGTCTGGAAGAGAGGTGCAAAGTGAGGTGGGGCTCTGTGGAGCTGCTCTGGCAGGAGTGCTGAATTTCAAGGGTCGTCTTCAGAGAAGAGCTTCTTTGAAGTCCTGGAAGCGCCACTTAACTCTCAATATGGAGCAGCTCCCTTTGTGAGGGACGTCTTGCTGGTTTGAGTGTTTGGGAGGCCAGCAGGGCTGGTGCAGGTGTGATGAGACCTGGCCGGTGCAGGGAGGCCTGACCAAAGGTGAGCAGCAGTGTGCACCCCTTGGTGCAGCCCTTGGATCTGTTTGCACGCACCTCAGTGTCTTAGCAAAAAGCCCAGAGCTGCAGAGCAGGGCCACTCCTGAGAGCAGTTGTTCCTGTGCTCCTGCAGCATCTGGGGTGAGCCCTGAGATGTGAACTTATGCCCTGGCGGTGGTGGCAGGGTGGCACTGGTGTGCTCATAGGGCTCAGCCCCTCCAGAGTAGGGAGGCTGACCTGATGCAAAGTAGAACATTCTCCAAACCTGCAGCAGAACAAGGGCAGCCTCTTTTCCTCTCCTGCCCTGCAGGTTGGTGCACAGGGGAAATGTTCTGGTGTCAGGCTGCAATTGGTGTGTCCCTGCAGAGCTGTCATAGCTCCCCTGAGACCAGCTGCTCTCAATGCGAGTCTCTCTGCTAGCAGAGATTAGCACTCAACCAGGAAGCTTCCCCTCTGTTCTGGAGGGAGACATCTCCCTTCAAATGATTAGACATGATGCAAGGCCAAAGGGTTTTCTCAGCATGTGTTGCTTTAGAGTAAATGCATCTATCAGAGCCCTGCTGCTGCCCCTTGCCTGGACTGTGAGATGTGGGGACTCTCAGCTTGGTAGTGCAGGCACAGAGGAGATGAGAACTACACAGCAACCAGGTTTGGCTTCAGGGGACCCTCTGGGAAAGAAAAGGAGCCTGGGAAGGCTGAGTATGTATGCTGGCACAGCTGGCATACATAGGCCTACTTTTGAGGTGGAAGTAAGCAGACATCATCTGAGACCAGTGCAGCTTCCATCTGGACTCCAGGGATGGATGTCTGAAGCCCAGTGCCAGAAGGCTGTGCTGGTGCTGTCTGGGGCAGGAGGAGTAGCTGTCCTGGCTGTGGGAGGGCAGAGAACAGCTCCTGTAATGTGTGGATTTCTCACAGGCCTTCTCTTTTCCCCAGGCAAAATCAAGGTTGAGGTTCTGCCACCAATAGAGACCAAAGGTCTGACATCAGATGACGTCTCCGACCTCACTGACAGATGCTTTCACATCATGAGGGAGACCCTTTTCAGGCTGTCAGGCCGCCCAGGCGAAGTGAAGGACTCTTCCTAGATGCTTCTCCAGTGGTGTCACTGTGTGGTGGTGGTCGAAGGGACCTGTCTGTTGCCAAATACTGAAAGGATTCTCTTTCTCTGCAGTGACTTTTAACTCTGGGGACACCACTGCCTGGCACACAGGGGATGTCAAGCCAGCACTGAGGTTCCCCATTGAGTAGACTTCTCTTGTGGGTTCATTATCTTGCAATGAAACGTCTCCTTTTTTGAGTTTCTCAGGCATGAAACTTGCGCTACCAAAGGGCCCAATGACCAGAGAGGTGAGTTCCCCCAGTTCAGACAGCTGGGATGGGCTAGTGATAAAAACCTAGCTGACAGCGGGGCTTTGCCTCATGTGAGTATGTCCCCAGGCCCGTGTTCCTTCAGGTGCAGTTAGGTGGTGGCCTGGCCCTCTAATAGTCCCAGATGGAAAACTGCAGGGCAGCAGTTTTGTTCTGCAGAGCCCTGACCCTGCTTGCACAGGGCTGAGAATTGGCTGAAAATCTGACTCTGGGTCTCTGACAGCACTGCTCTCAACTGGCCTGCCAGTGCAGTGGTGGCACTCGGGTGCTGGGCCTGGGCTGTGGTTCTGCCAGCTTAACACTTCTGTATACTGGGAGTGTCGTGTCCTCCCCTGGGTGGGTCCAGAGCATGGCAGAGCTCAAGGGCCAGCTCTGAGGAAGGGCCCAGTGACTCTCCCTCCTTGAGAGGCTCTCTTGGGTTACAATAGTGTCTTGTGCTGGAGTTACGCACTGTCCAGGCACTCTTGAGCAAAGTCTTTCCCTCTGGAAGAAAGAACCTAGGGGGCTGATAACTCAATTTCCTTAGGTTCAGCTGGGTTGGGAAGGGGAATGTGTGGGGCCAGTTAGCCTTATAGTATCTCTTAGGGCTTGGTTTTTTTTTATTTTTTTTTCTTGTCTGAACACGTGCCCTTGCTAGCTGAAGGGTGCAGTAACAGAGGGAAGCAGCAGCCTGACCAAGCCAGCACATGTGGTTTTAGAAGAGTTTTAGCTAAATGCTGTCCAACCTTGCCGGAAATAATCTTCTCAATGAAACGTCACACTTGCATTTCTGACATTCAGAGCCACAAGCTTGACAAGACCAACCCAGAGCTGGTCTGTGTTGGGGTCCTGGGTGAACCTGTCCTCATCATGTGACTTGTCTACTGCATGGCTCTGGGCATTGTGTGGTAGCACGTGTCTGGCTCAGTGCTTCCTTGGTGTTTACCAGTGAATTGTGCTGCATACTTGCTGCTGGGATGTTTGTTTGACCTCATCAGAGCAGGCAGCTTGGTGCCTGTGGTACCTGTTGCTTGTGCTGCAAAGGGCTTTGTCACGCTCATCTTACCACTTGTTATGGTCAGTACTGGCCGAAAGATGGTGCCTCTCCCATGTTTCTTTGTACTGATGTCAGTGGAGCTCCTGGTCTGCAAACTATAAAATTACTAAGGAGCCACAGGGACTAGGGGCTGCATGGTTTCCTGCTTGTGGGAGATGGGCTCCTTCCCCAGTGCTGCCAGAGTTCAGATAAAAGGGGTTCCCCTTGACTGAATTACCTGTGCTTTGGGGTGGCAGGCTAGCGGGGACCTGGATCCCTCACTGGAAGCTGCAAAAGTGCTGATGCTGTCTACGAAGGAGCAGGGGTGGATCAAGCCCATGCTTCCAGGGCATAATCTCTACGTTTAACTGGGGTACCTTCCCCCAGCCCAGGGAGGCTTTAGCCCTCTGGTAGGGAGTGCGGTCTTGAGATAAGCCTCTTCAGGCTACTTGGGTAACCAAGGCCTTTTGCAGCCTGTCTCTGGCCCTCTTAATGGGAGTGGGGTCATGGCATTTCAGGGGGCTGCATCCATGACTGGAAAAGGCATCTGATGCCTCCAGCAGCTCCTGCAGAACCAGAAAGCCTCGAGGGAGGGAGCCCTTGGGCCAAGCAGGGCTACAGTTCAGCACTATGAAGTCTCAGGGTTCAAATGCAGCAGGGGATGGGGATGGGGGAGACTGAAACCAAACCAGCACTTTGTGTAAGAGTAGCAGACAAATGGCTGTGTCATGGAGGCAAAACCCATGAAGGTCCAAGGAGTGCTCCTTGCCTCCTGGCTGGAAGGGGAGCAACTGGACTCGGGGAAGTGGGCATCATGGCCAAAGATAACCATGTCCCCCGGGCAACTCCTGGAGCATCTGCTCCTCAGAAGGAGGGAGCAGTTCCCCTGTGTGCAGTTGTCTGCTGTTCACTTTTAATTGGCTTGATGATAATGTATTTTCTTTTAAAAAGTACACCTTTGGTTATTTAAATAAAGGAGACTCCTGGTCTTGTTGGGGGGTGTGGGAGCTGGGGCGGAAGAGCTGTTGTGGGACTAAAAGTGGTGCTGACTCTTCATGTCCTGCATGGATGGGCTTGGTAAGCCCAAGGGAAAGGCATGTCCTTGTCCACCACTGCATCCCACAGGCAGAAGGGATGTGCTTTTTGCACCCCAGCCTCATGCCATCCTATAATAGGAAGGCAGAGGCCTACAGGCGCCCGTCCCTGTGGGGCAAAGGAAGATGTTGCCCTTGGTGGACAGGAGCCTGTGTCAAAGCAGGGCCCTGGTGTGACCTCTTTCCCAGCCAGTAATGAAACCACAGCCCAGATGTGTGCAGCAGGAGGCTTTATTTTAGTACAACCCCTGCAGCGCTGTGTTGCCCATGTGGCATGCTGCTCCTCCTGCACTTCTGCTCGTAGGCGAGTAGGAACATGTTGTACCAGGCTGGTCACATCTGTTCTGCTGCACCCACGGGCTTGGGCTTGAGCAAAGAGTGCTGGTGGAGAGGCAGGCACGCGCTGACAACGCAGCGCGTGTCGGGCTTGGAGAAACCAGCTCATCTGCCCCGACAGCCTGCGCTCACGCCACTGTAAACGAGCACGCCTGCCGGGCTGGGGTGCCTATCCAGGTGTGCGGGAGAGCTGGCCCTGTGCAGCAGAGGGCTGTCCGTACCCCACTTCTTGGCCTTGCCCTGTTGGCATTGCTGAGGGGCGCAGGTTTGCCCAGGCCCGCTCTGTGCTGAGGACTGGAGTGTTGCAAGGAAAGTTTTTTTTGTTACAGCAAATAAAACCTGACCCTCTGTCCCTTCAGGCCTTCTGAGGTGTAAAAGCATCGTGGTGGTTACTGCTCTGTAGCCCTGAGGGCTGGGGCAGAGGAGCGCGAATGCAAGGAGATCACTTTCTGAGCAAGTGGCTGCAACTGCCCTGCTAAGAAGCTCCGAGGTGCCAGCCCACCTCCAGCCCTCGCTGCAAACAGCTCCCGTGCAGGGAGGCTTGTCGTAGGCAGCAGACCAGAGGCTGCAGGGCTGGGCACCCAATTCCCTGTACTCGGCTGGTGCAATAGCTGTGCAGGGACCAGTTGCACCCATCCCTCCCTGCAGTGCTGCCTGGCTCAGGGCTGCCCACTCTGGCACGGGTCCTTTTTGGCTGTAGCCCCCCCTGCATGCTTGATAAAGTACCTGACTTGCCCTCACCTTGTTTCAGCAAAAGTCTCCGAGCAGGCAGGAGGAATGTGGAGCCACTGCTGTCCTTCTCAGGCCATGTCTGCGTGACACTGGGATGAGCAGGGCTGGGCAGGCAACAAAACCACCCCCTTTACCTTGCGGCGCTGCCCCTTGGGGGGGGTGACAGTAAGTAGAAGCCAGGCAAAACTAAGCACCCCATGACTTCACTTAGAGCCGCGCTCTCTGGCACAGCTGGACAGGCACAGCTAATGGCATGAGGTAAGGCATTTATTCTCTGCCTCTCCAGCAGAAGTGGGTGAGATGCTGAGGGTTAGAAGTCCAGTTGAGAAGGAGCTACACGACCTTCGATAAGGTGAGGTTAAAGAGGAAAAGATGGAGATGCTGATGGGAAACCAGCCTTCTCCAGCTACCCTGTGTCTTCCTGTAGATGATGCAACTTCTTCCCCAACCTGGGGCTGGCTAGTGAGATAAGAGGTACGGATGCGCTCTGCTTGCTCCAGTTCCTTGGACATTTGGCTAAAGTTCATTCTTGCAGGAACCTGGAAAGGTTAAAAGAAAAAAAAAAATACAGCAAAGTGGTTATCCTGGGTTTGGTAGGGTAACAGCAACTGCTTTTGTAACTAATGCAGGGCTCTTGTCCCACTGCTTCAGAGGAGGTTGGGGGGGCAGGGGTGTTGGGGGGGGGTTATGGCAAGGCCCATTACAAAATCTCTCATGGCTAGGCTGTTTCTCAA